TCATAGTTTGCAATTTAGATTTAAGTCTTTAATCCACTTTGATTTGATTTTTGTATATAGTGAGAGGTGGGGTCCGTTTTATTCTGCATATGGTTATATAGCGTTCCAGCACCATCCATTTAAAGATGCTCCTTTCCCCCATTGTATGTTCTTGGTGCCTTTGTTGAAAATGGGTTGGTTGTAAATGTTTAGATTTATATCTAGGTTCACTATTCTGTTCCATAAGTTTATGCATTTGTTTTTATGCCAGTACCATGCTTATTTAGTCACTACAGCTTTGTAGTATATTTCAAAGTCATGTAGTGTGATGACTCCAACTTTGCTCTTTTTGCTCGGGATTGCTTTGGTTATTTGAGGTCTTTTGTGGTTCCATATAAATTTTAAGATTTTTTTCTATTTCAGTGAAGAATGTAATTGGTATTTTGATAGAGATCACATTGAATCTGTACATTACTTTGGGCAGTATGGTCATTTTAAAGGTATTAATTCTTTTGCTCCATGGGCATGGAATGTCTTTCTATTTGTTTGGGTCCTCTTCAATTTCTTTTATCAGTGTTTTATAGACTTCCTTGTAGAGTTTTTTCACTTCTTTAGTTAAGTTGAATCCTAGTTATTTTATATTCTTTGTAGCTATTGTAAATGGGATTGACTTCTTGATTCCCCTTTCAGATTGCGCACTGTTGGCCTATATAAATGCTACTAGTTTCTGTGTGTTGAATTTGTATCCTGCAACTTTACTGAATTCATTTACCAGCTCTAACAGTTTTTTGGTGGAGTTTTTAGTGTTTTCCAAGTATAAGATCGTGTTGTCTATGAACCAGGCTAATTTAATTTTCTCCTTGCCAATTTGGATGTCCTCTATTTCTTTCCCTTGCCTAATTGTTCTGGCCAGGACTTGCAGTATTATTTGAATAAAAGTGGCATAAGTGGGCATCTTTTTCTTGTTCCATGGATGATCTTTAAATTTAACTTGTATTTATAAGCCTATTTGCTTTGCAATGTTGCAGCCATTTACACAACCTGAGATTATAAACTCTGAATAATTCTAATAATTCCTTAATATACATTATTACAATCTCCATGTGTACACTCTTTTTTTGGTCATAGCTTACTGAGACAGTTTAATGCCTGAATGCAAGTTGTTCTTGTCCCTGTACTCAGAATGGAGAGTTAATATTTGGGTAGATTCCATAGGGTCTGGCTTAAGAGACAGGCAAGTCCATCTCCTATCACCAGTCTCAGTGCCTCCACCACAAGGAATCCTTGTTCTCTCCTGCGGCTACAGCTCCTGCTGCTACCAGACCTGCTGCTTCTGCTATTGCTGCCACCACCATTGACAGCACCCTTCTGGGTCCAGGTCCCAGCTTGGCTACCTTAGGGCCACATGTACCCCAGACTGTACCAAAGGCCTGTTTGTGCATGTCAGACCAATTGCTCGATGCCTGTTTGTCCTTCCATGCCTATGAACCTAAGCCTTCAAGTGTGCACACTACCACCTGCTATATCTCCACTGTTCATGCACATGCTTCATTGTTTCATTACACTTCACTTATAGAACACAAGATCAAAAATAAAATTTTCATGAATTTCAAGATTGCAACAGTAGAGAATTAAACTAAGTTTGGGGCCCTTCTTAGAGTGGAGACCCTGTGCAACTGCACAGGTCATAGGTCACACATCAATGAAGACTGCCCTCATGCCAGTTAAGTCCCTTGGTATATAACCAATCAATGACCATATATCAGGCGCTTGCCATAGGCCAAGTGTTCACTCATGGTATCTTTTTCCAGCCTCTCCTAAATGTTCCCTACACAAGGAGGAACCTAGAGTGGAAACAAGAGACTGTTTCGACTACTGACTACCGACTACTGAAACAACTGCTCAGATAGCTGTGTGCCTTTGTATTTTCATATGCATTATCTCACTACAGGGCCATAACCCCCTGAGGAAGTGAGAGAACGGATTATTGGCTCTAATTAATTAATCCTCACAACCATCCACAGTGGTCTGGAAGTATTTGTAATGCTGTCTGACAGATGAAGTCACAGAGGTTAAATGACTTTTCTCTCTACCTCACCAGGCTGTTGTGAAGATCAAAGTAAACGGAGGTTATGAAGAGGGTTTTTGTCAACAGTGAGGTAAAGGGTACATATGAGGGATTACCACTATTCTTCCTTGGCGACATCACGTGGTAAAGACACAGGAATTCAATTCAGGTTTACCTCTAACTAATCAAGATCTTACCTTTTAAGTGCTAAATCTTTTCAGCTCAGGTTACCTGACCAAGCAACATAAGATCACTATACCTTAATCCAGCCTTCTCTTATGGTCTGCCTATTCAAGAAGTGAAACTTGCTAGTTCCAGAAAGATAAAATCATGCAGCTCACTAAGAATATCTCAAATAAATTAGAAAATGAATTTGAGATATATGAGAAAGAAAAAATACTCTCATATGTTCGGAAGGCAAATAACGTATTACTATAAAACCACTGGGCTAAAAGGTAAATCATTTAAAAATTATAAAATTTTGTAAACTCAAGGGAAATTTAAATATCAATATGTCAAAAATTTGTGTGGAACACAGACAAAAATTTATAGCTTTAAATACATGTATCAGAAAACAAGGTTTTTAAAATGAGCTAAGCAGTCAGGAAGTTGGAAAAAAGTCAACAGAGCAATGCAAAGAAAAGTAAGAGAAAGAAAATTATGCAGGTAAAGGAAGAAATTTAAAGAAATGAAAAAAATGAAGATTAATTTAAAAGCAGAACCAGGTTATTTGAAATATAGTAAGATGAACAGGCCTCAGGAAAGAATGATATATTTTTTAACAGGAAGGAGGAGGGAGAAAGAGAGAGAGAGAGAGATACACACACAAACACACACACACAATTATATATGTATATATACACAGATATATGTACATAAATGTATTTTGTACATATATTTATATGTGTGTGTGTGTGCATGTGCATACACACATGCTCAAAAGACCTCTATGGCAAAATAATAAACTCTAATAATAGCCTAAAAAATAATCTGAATAATAAAGAAGGCATTCCAGCATCTTGGATGGGACTCAATATTATGAAACACCAATTCTCCCCAAATTGACATATAAACTCAATGAAATCGCAATAGCAATTCTAGTCAGATTCTTTGAGGAACTTGGGCTCTAAAATTTATATGGAAAAATAAAGGTCCACAAATAGCTAAGTCAACTTTAAAAAATAAGAGTTATGTTCCACTGGATATTAAGACATTACTAAAAAACTAAAGAGCTTCTGCACAGCAAAAGAAACTATCATCAGAGTGAATGGGCAACCTACAGAATGGGAGAAAATTTTTGTAATCTATCCATCTGACAAAGGTCTAATATCCAGAATCTACAAGAAACGTAAATAAATTTACAAGAAAAAAAAACCATCAAAAAGTGGGCAAAAGATATGAACAGACATTTCTCAAAAGAAGACATTTATGCAGTCAAGAAACATATGAAAAAAAAGCTCATCATCACTGGTCATTAGAGAAATGCAAATCAAAACCACAATGAGATACCATCTCACACCAGTTAGAGTTCCAATCATTAAAAAGTCAGGAAACAACAGATGTTGGTGAGGATGTGGAGAAAGAGGAATGCTTTTACACTGTTGGTGGGAGTGTAAATCAGTTCAAATATTGTGGGAGATAGTGTGGCTATTGCTCAAGGACCTAGAACCAGAAATACCATTATACACAGCAATCCCATTACAGGGTATATACTCAAATCATTCTACTATAAAGACACATGCAAACATATGCTTATTGCAGTACTATTTACAATAGCAAGGACCTGGAACCAATCCAAATGCCCATCTATGATAGACTGGATTAAGAAAATTTGGCGCATATATACCATGGAATACTATGCAGCTATGAAAGGGAATGAGTTCATGCCCTTTGCAGGGACATGGATGAAGCTGGAAACCATCATCCTCAGCAAACTAACACAGGAACGGAAAACTAAACACTGCATGTTCTCACTCATAAGTGGGAGCCGAACAATGAGAACACATGGACACAGGGAGGGGAACATCACACACCGGGGCCTGTCAGGGGTGAGGGGAAAGGGGAGGGAGAGCATTAGGACAAATACCTAATGTATGCAGAGCATACATTTTTCACACTGAAAACCTGCATGACGGGTTCATAGGTGCAGCAAACCACCATGGCACATGTACATCTATGCAACAAACTTTCACGTGCAGCACATGTATTCCAGAACTTAAAGAACAAAGGAAGGAAGAAAGGAAGGAAGGAAGGAAGGAAGGAAGGAAGGAAGGAAGGGAGAGAGAGAGAAAGAAAGGAATGAAGGAAGGAAGGAAGGAAGAGAGAGAGAGAGAGA